AAAAATGTTTCACTTTAAGACAATTTTAGATTTACAGAAAGTTGTAAATAGTACAGAGATTTCCTATATATCCTTCATCCAGCTTCCCCTAAATGCGAGCACTTTATATAACTGTGGTACATTTTTCCAAAACTAAGAAATTAATACTGGTGCAACATTAATGACTAAGTTTTAGGGTTAATTCGGATTGTCACCAGTTTTTCTGCTAATGGCCATTTTCCAATCCAAGATCCCATCCAGGTTCCCACTTTTCGTTTAGTCTTTATGTCTCCTTGGTCTCCAATGTGAGTTTCTCGGCCTTTCCTTGTTTTTCATCACCCTGACACTTTTGAAGAGTACTGTTCACAGATTTTGTAAAATGACCCTCAGTTTGGGTGTGGCCGGTGTTTTCTCCTGATGAAACTGGGATGGTGGATTTGGGGGAAGAAGACCACGGAGAGGTGTGAGAGGTGCCCTGTCATCATGTCCTGTCAGAAATGCCTGATGCCAGCATGACAAGCGATGTTACCTGGATCGCAGGCGCGACACTGAGGGTTGCGATCTGTTGCCGGTCACGAAAAAAGACAAAAAGGAAAAAAACAAAAAAAAACAGATTTTGTAAAATGACCCACAGTTTGGGTGTGGCTGGAGTTTTCTCCTGATGTGACTGGGATGGTGGATTTGGGGGAAGAAGACCACAGAAAGGTATGTGAGGTGCCCTGTCATCATGTCCCGTCGGAGATACCTGATGCCAGCGTGACAAGCAATGTTACCTGGATCGTGGGCCACAGGTGGTGGTGTTCTCCCCATCACGTTCCTCCCCGTCACCACATCCAGCCTGCCTTCATGGGAGGGGACTTAAGCTCCATCTCCTGGGGGGAGGAATAGCAAAGAATTTGTGCATATGTTATTTTTTTTATTTCGGAAATTAAAAAAAATTCTTTTATTATTATTTTTTAACCAATGGCCCCAGGGATAGCGGACCAGGGGAAGGGGGAGGAGGGGAAGCGAGGCCGGCCCTACAACTCTTCCGCACCCACTCCTCTCCCCCTTATGTATTTATAATCTATATACAAGTCCCTGGGAGTGGGGGGCAAGGGGGACTCCATCAGTGGAGTAGGGGCAACCCAGGCTCCTTATCTCCAAATTTGTGGATATATGTTAAAACCACCACTGTGATTAATAGATACTTGGGGAGAGACGCTTCAAGGCTATGCAAACTTCCTGTTTCTCCTTAAAGTTTGCCCACCTAACAGCATCCATCCAGATCTTATCTGAGGCAGTGACTACTGTGTGTTCTAACGGTGATGTTCCATTTCCCTTGTTCCTCTGTGTTTGCTATTAATTAGAATTCTGTAAGGATCATTTGTCTCCTTTCCCCCGTTTGTTTATCTATATCATTTATTTATATCATAATGGACTCATGGATATTTATTTTATCCTTCCCTTTTGAAAGAGAATTTGAAAGAGAATCCAGTTTTGGATTTTTTTTTTTTTTTTTTTTTTTTTAGTGGCTGGCCGGTACAGGGATCAAACCCTGGACCTTGGTATTATCAACACCACACTCTGACCAACAGAGCTAACTGGCCAGCCCTCTAGTTCTTAATAATTTTTCTAATAATATTAAAGGTGTTCTGATATAGGACAGTCAAAAAGAATAATAGATGTTCACCACAGTGGATGTTTTTGGAAGGATCACACAAACATTGTCATTGGAGACTAGGATATTTGGGGACTTAAGAGCCTGGTGAGGGGCTGGAGCAGAAATATCCCCAAGAGTAAGAATGAGAGATCCAAGACTGAACAGACTGTCTCAGAGTCTGAACCACATCCCCCCTTATATGTAGATTCTGCAAACCACACATTCCCTTTGGGCCTGTTTCCTCAAAGATAAGGTAAAGATGAAGGTGCTGGTTGGCTCAGGAGCAGTGTTCTCAGGCCTGAGTGTGCATCAGCAGACTCTGGAAGGCTCATTAAAAGTCTGCTGGCTCCACCCACCGACTGTCTGATTCAGTAGGTCTAGGGGGGTGGGGCCCAAGGATTTGCATTTCTAACACGTTGCCAGGTAGTGCTACTCCTGCTGGTCTTGAGACCACACTTTGAGAAACAGATGACCTCTAAGGAGCCTTAACAGCTTTGGACTCAACATTTATTCAAATGCCAAAGTCTTTGGGCCTGGCTATGAAGAAGTCCCTGATGAAATGATGGGAGCAGGCCTTTGTAGGAGCAGATACCCTGGAAATCCAGTAGGACTGTGCAGCAGACCCTGAATGATTACTGTGTAAATGCCTCTAAGAACCGGTCACTGCCTGGGGGTGGAGGAGGTGTGTGGGGTGGGGGGTGGAAACAAAGTCTGGGTAGAGGGGTGAAGCACAAGCTGGAATTTGGGTTCTACCACTTAACAGCTATGTGCCCTTGAGCAAGTGAGTAAATGAGTTCCTGCCTCAGTTTCCCCTCCTGAAAAAGAGGACAATGATGGTACTTACATGATCTGGCATAAAGAAAATGCTTAACAGAGGGTTGCTGCTGCTAGGATTATTATTTGTGACTGAGTCTGTCCAGCAGGGGAAGTGGCAGTGACAGAAACAACATCTGTTTCCAGAGCATGTCCCTCCTGCCTCAGCCACGACACCACCCGTCCACTCAGATTGTGAGAAAAATTAAATAGAATTTATTAAATATATTCCAAGGGCTCCTCCAAGGAGCATTAACAACTCTTAGTACAATAAATACCAATAAATTAACATAGCTGCCACCTCTTACCCTCACAGGGGTACAAAGAGAAGAAGATTTAAGTGTGCAGAAGATAAACACTCTTTAAATACCAAGACTAGTAACAATGACATCATCTTTTTCAAGTTAATTCATAAATTTAAATCTTAGTCCTCCCAGGACTGGCCCATCTGAAGATTCATTGGGATTATGCATTGGAATAATTTGAATAAATTACTTAATAACTCAAGCAGAGTTTTCACACTTTGCTGTCAGTCATCTTTTTTTTAAGGCTGCTTAAGTTTCGGCCATTCAAAAAGGAATAGATTCAATGGCCTATTGGGTTCCATAGTTCAATGATTTTAATACGAGGTTCATGCACTCTGAAAACTGTTGTAACGTAGTCAAGATGAAGCGTTTACGTTCAAGGGTATCTGTAGG